TACCGGTACGAAACGATTGAACCACGGTCGTACCACAAAATACCCTACCAGAAAGGAATCCGATATGATGTCCGGTACGGTTTCCTTGACCATGATTATCCATCACCAAAAATTTTAAAAAATACTATTGTATGTTTAGTATGGAAGAAACTAGGTATGGGAACTATTATTGATCTTGTATTTTTGTTATGATAAGACTTAGTGTATATCAATTAAACTACTAAACCATGACCCTAAATCGTGAAGACTAAACACTAAACTCATATGAACTATTCCCTAAGTTTTGATCAATGAACATTATTTGATTTGTGTGTTCACTCTACCAATCATATAACTAATCATGCATGAGATTTGTTTGTCAATATGACATTTTTAACTTAATCTCTCAATTTTTGTTATTTAAAAATAAGTAACTTATCACTCAACCGACTCCACTCCTAATCGCCACTTAATCGTCCTTTTTCACGTCAATAATGTGAGAATGAGAACATCCACCAAAATCTGTTTTCGAACCTTTGGACAAATAACCAACGGATAAAAAAATTTGAAGACATGAAATATCCCCTTCTTTCTCTTTTGAAATATTAAATGCATCAAAATTTTCCTCTTTTATCTTCTAAAAAACTTGAAAGCACCAATATATTTTTCTTCTTTGCCTTCGGAAAAATTGAAAGTATCAATTTCCAACTTATATATCTTCTCACAAAGATGAAATGCCAAGAAATTTCATCCTCTTAAGTTTTACATTGTGTCAATTGTTTATTATTCATTATCAATATTGATGTTGTGCTAATTTTATATTTTGGAAATTTTATTTTGTCAAGTTGATAAAAAAATTAATGTTAAACGGATTTGAGATTTTTAGCTTTTTAAATTTTATAGGAAAACACAATTTCAAGTGATGTTTATATGTTCAACTTCACAATTAGGAAATGAATAAAATGACTTCGCCTAGATTTCAAACCAAAAACTTCATTTTGCAAGATTATATAATATATTATATTAATTATTCGGGTGAATTTGGCGGATTTTCCTTGGGTTGATCGGGTCACGGGTTAGTTCGAGCTCAATCGGGTTACGGGTTAGTCGAGTTATGAATTCAATCGCGTTCAAAATAATTGTGTTGCTGGCGGGTTTCAAAACGGACAGGTTGGGGGTCATTGACTTTTATTCTACTCGGTTTGCGCGTAGTGCTACGTGTTCAATCATGTTCGTATTAATTTTGTATGCCAATTGGGTTTGGGTCGGACAAGTTGCGGGTCATTTACACCTATACTCACATACTTCTCTGATTAGACGAAATCGAGCAAGGAGAAACAAAGAGACAAAACTTGAATTGAAATCCATTTTATCTGGCCATTGACTTTAAGACAACTCGGATTGTGGTCAGCCTGTGTATCGAATTAACCAATGGGTTAGTTTGGTTATGGGTCAAACTAGCCGACGGGATAATCTGGCCGCATTCTGTTCTGACACCTATACTAACGGACCTCCCTGCTCAGATGAAACCGAGTAATGAGAAAATTAAGAGATAAAACTTGAATAAAAATCCCATTTATATAATTGGTATATACAATAATCAATCAATTGTATCTACAAGTTAAAGAGGAGTTGGACAGTGATGGTTCTCCTGAATAATTCCATGCATAATTATTTTATATAATAGATGAGAGCTAGCCTGCTAAAACTAACTTCTCAATTTTTCATATGTAAACAATAAAAACAAAACAGTTTCAATTGCATTCTCCTGTTGTTGCATTGCATGTCTTGTTTGCGCAGGTCGATGAGATCTTTAAAAACAGTTTTAAAAATGCAAGATTCATACCATGCTTGTTTTTTTCTTGCCGTACTTTGGCTCGGGAGGAGCAATCGAGAAGCCACAAGAGCTATATAAGGAGTGGGTATGCAGCATTGATTTCTCACCCTAAACACACCATACCAAAGAAGCTAATAGGGTCACTTCGGAAGGAGGAGATTGTACATCTAGAGCTTCAAAAGAGAGAGAAGAAAAATGGATTCGGGGTCAAAGTTGGCAATGGCAGCTTTTCTGCTTCTCGGTATGTTGAGCTTCGTTGTTGACGCAAGACTTCCAGTAAAGAGCATTATCAGGGGACCAGATTGCGTTGGCAAATCAGAAGATATAGCGTACAACAAAGGTGTGGAACGTCTCATCGATATTTTGGTGGACGAGACGAAAAATGTGAAACACGAGAATTATAATGATTACAGTTACGTCCACAGCTACCCCAATCGTGATAACGGCTCTGTCATCGGTGGCGCCACTTGTGATAGGCAGCTTTGGAAACTGGATTGTTGGTCATGTCTCGTTACTGCCAAGAACAAACTCAACGACAATTGTGGTCACACCCATGATGCTAGGATTGAGCTTGCCGATTGCTCCATTTGGTACAAGATGATTCGCTGACTTCACTCTGTATATCTCTATATATGTTTAGATGTGTGCCTGCTATTCTCCTGTTCAGATCGATAGGTTAGCTTTGTATATTTCTTTCTATCCTATCCTTTCTGTTGTTGTTATTTGTCTGTGGTTGTGTTTAGGGTCTACTTTCTATATAGTTATCTGCGTACAATAAGGTTTCGGGTTTGTGAAACCAGTTACAAGCAGAAACTACAATTAATTACTTGCCGATGCTACATATGTATTCTTCCAGTTTTTGGTTAAAGAAATCTTTTGCGTCATTAATGTGATAATCACGATATATGACATGTTGGGGAAATTGTTCATGTATACTAGTCTCTTGCAACACAAGCAAATACATATGATTAAGAAAAACATGTAAATACACATGCAAGCGTCATAACCGATAGAATTCACTATCTCTCCTTAAAGAATCTTATTCCCCTCTAGTACCCAAGGTTATGGAATGATTCCTCCTAGGATAGAAAGGACATACCTTTTCCGGCGTAGGGGTACCTCAAACCCCGGAACCCATCGAACGCACGAACCGGCGAGAACCACACTTAACTCGATTTTCTATTTGAAAAGAATGTAGAAATCTAGTTTTGGATTTTGGCAGAATTTTGTTATGGGAAAAAAACATCTAAAAACCAGAGGGGTTAGGTGCCATTTATAGAGAATGAAGGGGTGCTTATGAAGGGAGGCAACTCTTCGTATGGGTGGTTACACCCCAACCATTGCATTGGTTCGTTTAAAATATTTCAACCATTGTATTGGTTCGGCCTCATGGAAGTTGGACCGGTTTGGTTATTCCAACCGCCATATTGGTTCGGTTCGATTTGGTTCAACTCGATTTGGTTCATTTGGTTACACAAATCAATTTAACCAATTAACCACATATTACATCAAATCGATCGAATTCAAGGCCATACCTTCCCACATCTTACCAACATGGTACTTCAAGAGACTCTCTTGGAACTTTCCCCTTTCATTTCCATTCACACCACTAAAAACCCAACAATCCCCCACATGAATGGAGAATGTTGTACTTTAAAAACTATGCAAAAAATCGTGTGATTCTCGACTAAGAATTAGTCGCATCGGGATAGGTAGGTTTCCCTTTGAACCTTCCTTAGTGAACATATATCGAGTATACTCACCAATCGGTAGATGTGATATCTTTGAACCGTCGGTTTTGCTTGTATACTTAGACAACATATGTCACACAACTAACTCTTATCCGTTCACTGGTTCTCATTGTTGTGTTCGTTTTAGCCATGAACACCGCCTGGTCTCATGAGTGCTTAGAGAACTGGCCTTCTTTTATTCTCCTTGAAGCGGCTCCACTTCACACTCACATAGGTGATTTCTAAACGTGTATTCCGAAAATACACTATTTGATCACATCCCGTGTCAAACTTAGAAACCATTAAAAACCTTCCATCTTTAGGTTTACCCTTATAGTTGGACATTGTCTCATCTTGAGAATGGACTTTGAATAATTTGACAATGTCGGACCATCATTCACAACTTTGTTTTCTCCTTGAACCTAGAGGTTGGGTCTGCCAATCCTACTTAGGTAGAGTTACCGCCATGATGATTTGTCCTAGGCCACGAGTCCATTCCCTTCGATGCTATCATTAATTTCTAGGTAGGCCTAACGTTTGTTATCACTTGATCTAAACTGATCATCTCCGATAACTTCGCTAGAAATTAACCAATCAATAATGTTATGTTTCTACGATGAGATTTTCACATAACACTTCTAGCCCTTGCAATAACCATTTTGTGCACAAATGCGTTTTATTAACGCCAGTCTTTGCGGGCCAAACTACTCAACTTCACCGGTCTTAGAGTTTAACTTGGACGTTTTCCAAGATACTGCTCCTCGTTAACCATAAATGCCTATCCATTAATGGACTATGGCTTTTGGTTCACCCAGTGAGTTACTTTGGGTAAAATTCACCAAAAACTCGTCTCTTTTCGATTCACTTCACATCATGTGTGTTTGCCTTGATTTTATTTCCTTGCAATAATCATAACACATGCCAACGGTGTTGAAGTCTCTCTACTTCATTAACCTTAGAGTACTTGAGTTTCACAAGTGTCTCTTCAAATGTAGTGACATCTATGACTTAACTTAGGGTTTACGTAAAACTCCTAAGTATTCACATCACTTCACTTTGGAATCACCCAAGCGACATTCCACATCACTTCTCCCCAATTCATCCCCCACATTTCAACTATTTCGCCATAGTTGTTGAAACCAACGTTTCCGGTTTGGGGAATGTTGTCCATATACATTCATGTCAGTGGCGGACCCAGGAATTTTGAGTAGGGGTGTCCGATTTCAAAATAAAAATAAAAATAAAATAATTCTTAAATAAGAAAAGTATCCGAATAATATTCAACAACACAAATAATTGGTTAATACAAGTTACAACAAAATTCCACGTCGTGTTTTCATATTCTGAAAATATTCTAAAATACACTCCGTGTCTACAGTATTCAGCAAATCTCTTTCAATATATCCTACGAGACAATCATTCACAAACTGATCTTTCAGTTGCAACCGGTAAAGTCAATACAACTTTGAGAATGCTCTTTCAACACTTGCAGTTGCAACCGGTAAAGTCAATACAACTTTGAGAAGCAAATATACCCATGGATATGATAGATTCACTTTTGTCTTCACCATCAGCTGACACAATTCATCAATTCCTTTTAATCCATGGAATAACTCATCATTCTTCACAGAATGATAGTAATTCTCAAAGTCCCTTAGAAGAAAAGAGTCAGAAAGATGACCAAACTCTGTAGGATAAAATCGAGTAAGACTAACCAGCTTCTCCCTGTCAAAAGCAGCAAACTCATTCTCCGGGCTAAGAGAAGCCATACAAGTCAACAACCTAGTATTCACCTCATCAAAACGGTTGTTCAACTCTTGCAGCTGCATATCAAGAACAGAGTAATACAATTCAACCTGATAGTGATGCAAGTTTGTGATCTGTGGAGCCTTGCGCCTTGACCTTCCTGGAAGAACATACTCATCATCCATGCCAAGAACGTGAACAGATTCCTTAGTGCAAAACAAGATAACATCCTCAAGTAGAGACTCCCATCCTCGATCTCTCATCTCTTGTAATCTAGTTTTTCCCACACGAACAAGTTTCATAGCATTTACAATGTCTTGATCTCTCCTTTGCAATGCTAGTGACAACTCATTCGTAATTGCTAACACTTCAATCATCAACTTCAAAATGAAGACAAACCTGAAATCTTGAATTGTAATCAACATCCGCCATGCATGACTCGCTGTTTTTGGTTCTGTACTTGGATCATCCTCGATTCTCTCCAACACATTAATAATAGTAGAGAACAAGTGCTCAAAATTGAGAAGTGCACCATAATAAGAACCCCAACGAGTATCACCTGGCCTTTTGAGACTCATTTCTTGATTCAGTCCTTGTCCAGTTTCTTGTTCATTAGCAGCTATAGCCTCCGCAAGCTTCCTAGTTTGGCTATCTCGAACCATGTCAGCTCGTTTGCAAGATCCTGCAACCAAACTAGTCACACTATTGACTGTTGTGAAAAAGTCACCAACTTCTTTGTGATTTTCTGCTACAGCAACAAGTGCTAATTGAAGTTGATGAGCAAAGCAGTGAATGTAATATGCCGAAGAATTTTCAGCCAAGATCAAGGTCTTCAAACCATTTATTTCCCCTTTCATGTTGCTAGCTCCATCATAGCCTTGTCCCCTTATCATTGACATGCTTAATCCATGTTTCAAAAGCATTGCTTCGATTTCCTTCTTCAATGTCAAAGCTTTAGTATTTTGCACATGAGAAGTACAAAGAAATCTTTCCATAACACAACCATCAGAATTCACATAACGCAAAACAATAGCCATCTGCTCTTTCATTGATATATCACGAGTCTCATCAACCAATATGCAGAAAAAATTATTCCCAATCTCTGCAATGATTTTCTTAGTCATTTCACAAGCCATGGCATGAATAAGATCTCTTTGAATCTTTGGAGAGGTGAGTTGGAGATTCTTTGGAGCATTCCTCCCAACCACTCTTTGCACATCTTCTCTACCAAGAGCATGGAAATCTAATAGCTGAAGAAAGTTACCTCTGTTACTTGAAGTTGCAGATTCATCATGCCCTCGAAATGATAATCCATTCACTACTAGCCACCTTATGCAATCAAGTGAAGCAACCAAACGAATTGATAATCTCTTTTGGCTTGATCTGATTGTCTAAATAATGTAGCTTCAATTCCTCTTGCTTGCTTCAATAAAAGATCTGAAGTGTTTTTAGCTCTATTGTGGTAGCTGTTATGCTCCCCAACATGATCATCAAAAGCTTTCAATTTATTCCATGTTCTAAATCCTTCACCAATAAAGCCATCATTACTCCCACCTCACTTACTGAACACATAGCAATATAGATAATAAGCAGCATCTTTTGAGACACTATATTCAAGCCAATTATACTTCTTAAACCAAGAAGCCTGGAATCTACGCTGCCTTCCACTGAAGTTTCTGGCAGGAAAAGCATGACTCTTTGGTTGAATAGGACCTTTTTGAAGATAAAATCTTGGCCGTGAGGACTGTAAAGAACACCTTATGCAGATTGGTGGGAAGAAAAGGGAAGGTTCCATGGAAACTGGAATTCGAGCGAACTTCAAGCTATATGACCTTTTGTGCATTGATGTTGTCGTAGGAACGGAGGAAGGTGGCAAGGGAATAAGTGCTTCGCTGTCATTTGGAGCTACTGGGAAGTTTGAGGTGAGTCTAACAGATGGATAGCTTGGACGGAAGTTGGCACTTGGCAGTGGGATGTGCCTTGGCCATACGACCATGACAATGGAAGAGGGGGGTTGGAAGGAAATTAAAAGGGAGATGATGAGTCTTCCACTTGCGACCTTGTGGTTCAGTAGCTTTTGCCTTTTGGTGTGGGAAATTATCTCATAGGTAATGTTATTAAGCACGTCCTTTCTAGATCTAGGTACATGTTTGGCCTTATCTGACTGATTGGGCCTGTGAGTGAGTAATTGTGCTATTTTGCGTGACTTGGCTGATTGAATACCAACCGAGCCACGCTTTAGTCCATAAATTACTTCTCTCTATTTATATTGACCTCGCGGCGTTGTTGAATTTGCAAGGTCGTTGGTAGTGCAATGTCGTAGAACTCACGGCGCTGTCGATCATCACGAATTTGTTTAACCCACAACATCATTGATCTCTCGATGCTGTGATAATATGATTTTAAGGCAAAATTATTTTTAGGTGTAAACAGAGACAAAACTTAGAATAAAAATCCATATATGTCTTGTATTGTAGAAAACGAATGACGCGGAAAGAAGAACACGAAGACAAAATTTATGTGGTATGCCTGTTCGTTGTGAACAGGACTAATCCACGGTGAGCTCGGAACGAGCTCACGGACTGATATGTTATTTTTTACTGCGTGACCTAGCTTGCTTTGACAGGAGACCCAAAGCTAAGCTTATATAGTGACGTAGGGAAAAAACTAATTCCCTTTGAGTAATGACTCGGTTTTCCTTTACTATAGCAAATAGGAAACATAGATACAGTAGGACACAAAGACTTGGTTACTTGGGACACAAGGCAAATTAAACGCAACACTCCCCCTCAAGCGAAGGCATGAATGTCCAACATGCCGAGCTTGGAAAGAAGATGACTGAATTGATCCACACTTAAGCCCTTAGTGAACAAATCTGCAGGCTGGTCATGAGTAGCGATCTTGCAGGGAGCAATATCAGCAGAAAGAACACGTTCGCGAACAAAATAGCAATCCATCTCAACGTGTTTGGTACGCTCATGAAACACAGGGTTGGCTGACTCGCTATGACACAACACCTAACAATGGCCAAGTGTAACCAATGAAAGGGACTGCAGTATAGTGGCACAAGTAATAAATATCGAATCCACGGGTCTCTAGAGTTACTATTACTCAGCTTCAGTTCATTATCTAGCAAACTAGATTAAGGATTGATTTATAAACTACTCTACTGACTACTCTACTAATTACAAGTTGGGAACTCACTTAGGTATGATTCCCCCTAGCTCCTCAATTAGGTCCAATTTGCAATTACCTTTGGTTGATCTACTGTTGATTAAACTGCGGAAGATCCTAAATTAGCTTGGAATCTCTTAAGCTGACCAAGCCCTCTCAGTCCAACTACCCGGCAGACGACTAGTCTTCACCAGGATAGAAAGCTGAGGCTATGAACACAGAACTCCACTACTGGAATGAATTCCAGTACAAAGCAGTGAATTGATTGACTCTCGCACAACCAATTCACCACTATCAATCAAGGAAGCTCTCTTAACCTAATCAGATTCTATCTATCATAGGTTAAAGCAGAAATCAAGAGAATTTGATCAAGATTCAATTGACTCAATAAATCATGCCTCAATCGATTATAATCAAACAATATAGCATCCAAAACTTCATTAAGAAAGATCCTAACACATGGAACTAGGGTTCCTCAAAACCTAAGTGAAGGGAAGTTACTCCATAGAGAAGAGAGAGACTGCAGAAATCTGATCTAGATCTTCAATCTCCATCTCCAAGCTTGATTCCCGAGCTCCAATGGCGAAGAAATCCTCCAAAATAGCTCCAAGAATGTTCCCAAGTCGCTCTCTCTATCTAGGGTTCGTCCCTTGGGTGTTTGGGAACCAAAACCCAGCTCTACCTTTTCTTTGGCTTCAATCTGCCTAAAAAACCCGATTCTGGGCAAAACACTGTCGCGGACACGGCCATGTTTTGATTTTTCCCGCCAGTGTTTTACCCCGTGTTAAAAACACGCCCGCGCGCGTCATCCAAAACACGGTCGTGCCTAAATATGGGCACGGCCGTGTTTTGATTTAGGCGCGCCCGTGTTTTTACTGCCGAACCTGTTCCCCAATATTCAATGCTTCGTTTCTCCCTCGTCCGGACTCCGAATCAGTCGCCGTTTGATCCCAGACGCTCTTAGTCTCGTCCTCTTTCTTTTCATGACAAGCTTGCATGATTCTTTGTCCATAAAGTGAGGTATAAATTCATTCTTCTTCAGGTCATGCCCGAGTTTCTTCTCCCGAATCGTCAATTGATCTCTGATTGACTTGAAACTTGCGCTTATGCTTCACTCTATGTGCTAGGACCTGAAATATGAAAAAGGAACACAACCTAGCGTAAAATAGGCCAAAGACACGATAATTCAAGCTCAAACAATCAAGAAACAAAGGGGAAAACATGTGCAAATACCGAGTCATCAAATCCCCCCACACTTAACTGTTTGCTTGTCCCCAAGCAAACCTAACTCAAACCAATGCAGCTCTCCAGACCTCTATAGAAACACACAACCATGATCATCGGTAGAGGATTTCCTAGATCATATAGCAGCTTACGAGGTCAACTGGTCTTCTAAGACGGCCCCTATCTCTCTCAATGCGAGTACTAGACACAACCAAGGACTCGTTGTACCGGGGTGCTCTTTCACTTCATTTCACCGTTGGAACCCCTTTTGCACTTTCATTTACATTTTTCTTGTTTTTTTTCTTTCACTTAGCAGGGGTTCCAACTGCAGACTTTTGCACGGTCGACCCTTATTAGTCGAGCAAGAGCAATTTCTGTACATCTGGCGCTCGCCAGAGTACTTCTTTTAACTCCTTTTCCTCAACACGTGTGGAGGGTCGATAAAATTAAGGGGGGTCGGAAGCTCTATCCGTGCCCTTAAAAACACATCATCAAGTAGGCAAACCGTTCAACGGGTGGAAGTTTTAATTTTACTAGAGACAACTTAGCTTCACCTTGTAGGAGTACCCCACTAAGGATCACTAAAATCTCTTCCAAAACCCGATTTTGTGCAATTAACGGTGCCGCACACGTTGGGCTTACCCCGTGTTTAAGATTTCGATGATTTCGACATGGAGGACCAACTGCTTTTCATTTTTCACATGAGCACCCTATTCGATACACGAGTCCATAACACAATCCAAATAGAGTCACCATTATCACATGAATTCAACGGTCCTAGCTCCACTAATTCACAAAATCAACTAGCACAGCGGAGAGCGAGATAGGAAAAATCTTATACTTCAACATCCTCCATAGTGCTACACTACCTCCCTAGGTTGCACATTACTATAGAGACTGTCAATTCAAAGCATACTGAGCAGGCAATTTGCAAGGAAACCAGTACTTGGAGCCCTTAAATTTAAAAATTTGGACAGTGGACTAAGCTCCAAGAACACAAACAGCCAAACATTCACCCGCATACATAATCAAACATCCCCCCACACTTAATCACGACATTGTCCTCAATGGAGGAAAGATAAGGAGGGTAGAACGAAGTTACCAGATCAAGGGTGAATGATGGTGGACGAGGCAGGCGGTGCATTCCAGGAGGAGAGAGTAGTCAGAACACAAACACCACACAAAATCTCACAAAGGTTGAGTTATTGACTCTAAAATCAAAGAACAAAACTGACCCAACCGAAGAGAAATAGGGAAAGAAATGCAAACCGACTGGTTGGGTTGCCTCCCAACAAGCGCTTCTTTCACGTCGTGAGCCGGACGATGTCTCCTAAGTTTCGGTCCACCCCAAAACCTCCTTGAAGTTGAGGTTCTCGTCGATGAGGTGGAGTCTCAAGTCACGAGCATGTGATGTGGCAGGTGATGAAGGCTCATGCACTTAATGCAGATGAAGTCTCCACCCTCTAGACCTCTTCTTCTCTTCTCTCGTCTCATTGCCCCAAACCAGATATGACAGCATCGATTGGCCACCATCACGTCCACCAAGAGGGACCGATGTTGATGTGGCCTTGGTCTGGCAAAGAGACACTGCAAATGGATCCTTGCTAAGCAGGTCCTCGAAGTTTGGTGGGGATATTACTTGCAACTCATGGTCGGTGCACGCCTCTTCCACCTTAATTCCGTCCTCAGCCTGGACGCCAATTGCTTCTTCAACCTCCCTTTCTTCTTCATGTGGTATCACCCCAGGGAAATGATCAAGAACTCATTCTGCTTCACTTTCGTCATCCTCCACAACTTCTTTCTGTACCCTTTCTTGCACTTCTTCTTCTAGCACGGATTGGAGAGCAAGCTGCCAAGCAATTTCTTTCATGAGATCTTCTTGCATCTCCTCACTCATGCCCGCCTCTTCAAAGCTTAGTTTGGGATGTGGGAAGGTGTGGTCGGCTATGACAGGACATTCCTG